AGCAGGCTCTTGTGTGAGATGACAGTATAGTTTAACGTCCAAACAGAAGAGTTCTTTTCTGAGTTTAGAATTCCTCTTGCTATTAATGCTGATCTCCATTTTCTATTTTAATATTTCAGTGCTTACTTCACTTACATGTCAGAAGGTAGGAAAGTATGTTATAATAGTTATTTAGTCACCAGTTTGTTGAGTGGTTGTGGTGAATAAGGCACTGTGTTAGATGATCTATAAACTTAATTTTATTTAATAAACTTAATTTCTTTTGATCCTCAAAGATAACCTTATGAAATAAAATGTTGTTAGCCCCATTATATAGCTAAGAAAAATGAGGTTTAAGGATATTAAGTAGCTAACACAAGTTTACATAATTGGTAAGAATCACAACTAATTTTCACTTAGATCTGTAACACATAAAAACTCTCACATCTTTGCCTCAACACCATTTGCTCTCCATATACAACTTCATTGTGTTCTCAAGGAAGCATTGGCATGCAGTTCAGTCTAGGCTTCTAGCCTGAAACTGAGGTTTAATGGTGCCTACATTTACTGGTTGTTATTGTCTCCTGATAATTATCTTTAAAATCACAAAGATTAGTTGGTACAGTGATATCACATGCTTTTTTTTTTTTTTTTTTTTATCATCATCATTATTTAAAACATTGAGAGAGAGACACAGTAGGTTTGGTACCTAGTGATAATTTTACATTAGCCTGGATTCTTTTTTATAATTAAGAGACACCCTAAATTCTCTTTAGAATAAATCAGGGACTAAATAGATCATAGAAAGATAGTAGGAACGAAATATAGCCAATCTCAATTAAGAAGAGAAATATGGAATATTTTATCTCTTTCCCTCTATTCTCTGGAGGTTGATAATTTCATGTAGTTATTTAATGTCAAATATAAAAGCATCTGTAGAGATCATTTAGTCCAACCTCCTCATAGTTTGGAAGAGGAATCTGACAATCAGAGAGCTTTACAGAGTTGCTCAAGGTCATGCAGCCAGGAGTTGGAAGATAGATTTTCAAATTCCAAGTCCAGTGTGATTTTCCTTTGAGCATTTTTTAATTCTTGGTTCCATGCTCATTGTTTATTAGAACAGGGCTATTCTGCAGAATAAAAGTTTATAAGGTAAGGGATTCTTTATGTTGTCAATTTTATTTTGCTAGAGTTTTTGTCTTTTCAAACTATCCAGCTATGATATGCTATTTGAAGTATGTCCTAGAGGACAAATATATACTTTTGATAAATACGTAGTGAATCTTTTCTACAATCTGTTATTTAGGAAATATACAATAGTCTTTGGATGACTTGTTTTAAATGCTTCAAATTTTCCACGAGTTTGATGCTTTAGCAGCTCCAATTTGTCGATGTGATTTGTGGTATCTTGTATGCAAGGATCCTTGAAGTACCTACTTCCTCCCATTTTGCAGCTCTACCTTTACTTGTATACAGTGTTGAAATGAGGATCCTATGAGAATAAGGACCATTACTGATTTATCACTTCTACTATGGGAGTCTGGCACATGCCTTGCACTAGGTACATACTAAAAAAGTATTTGATAAAGAAAAGGTGGGAATGAACCAAATGATGTAATGTTCTTTTCATTGCTTCCCTGCCTAGTCCTCTGAGAATGTATTATCTAAGATACACAGACAATAAGGTACAATATACTTACAGAAAACAACTGCCATGAAAATAAATATAAACTAAGTAAGGAAATAACAAATAGTGACATTTTGGATTAGATTATTTTTTTTGTTGTAGCAGGCTAGCTTATAAAATTTAGAACGTATAGTAGCATCCCTGGTCTCTACCGGCTAGATGCCAGGAGCACTCCTCCCATCCTCCAGGTGTGTCAATAAGAAATGTCTGCATGGGTTCCAGCAAGATGGCGGACTAGGGAGAAGGAGTGAACAGACCCTCTTCAACAAAGAAAAGGGAAACCAATTAACACAGACACAGAAGATAATCCTGGACCGCTGAGCCTTGAAGGGAAGGATACAGAAGTGGACTGAACACCAACTAGCAGAAGAATTTGCGTGCAAATACCGAAAAAGGAGACA